CTTGCGGGTTTTGATATATACATGACTGTATGACATTTACAAATAAATGTTTTAATAGCTTTTGCTTTTTATTAAATATGTTGAAATTAAACATGTGTATTAGATATAAAAATAAAGCAATTTCTTTAACATTGTACCAAAGTTAATAATGAGGACCTTAAATCCCTTATTTTAAAAGGGCCAAAATTTAGGGAACCCTGATCTTTCAACTGGAATCATAATTTCATAAATATTATGAATTGTGTGGAAGATTACGCCAGGCGATGGGCCAGACATGAAAAAAAGACCTTGACACTTTGTCAGAATGGATTAAATGTATCAGATGTATGTCAAAATCTCGCTTAGGTTAGCATCTATCCTTTTGTGTTCTATAATTCAGAAGTGGAAAAAAGAATTAGATAGACTACACGATCAGTATGTACTGGTCCCAGCTCACAAAGTAGGTAACAACATCGTCTTTGTTTGTAGGGCTCATTATTTTATTTGTATTTTAGAGTAACTGGGATTTGATTCTGCAAGCATAGCTCAATTTCTAAGGAGAAAATTCTTCAAAATCATACGTCAGTTTTGAATATTTTTAATATTCTCAACATGCTACATTTATATTGGATTCCGAAACTTTATAAAAACCCTAGCAAACAGATACATGGCGGGTTCCAGTAAATGTTCTACCAAGCCTCTTTCTTTACTCCTCACTAATCTATTAACAGCAGTGAAAGAGAAACTTCAGGAGTACTGTGTAACAATATATTCGAGAAGTGATGTAAATCAGATGTGGATACTTAAAAATTTCAAGGAACTTTTGGAAAATTTGAAATCACAAAAATTTACCAAAATAGAAGATAAAAACATACGATTTTTCAACATTATATACAACCATTCCCCATGATAAATTAAAGTCCGGGCTTTTTGACATCATTGACAGCTGCTTTTTCAATAAAAATGAAACTCGTAAATTTATTTACCTTTTCATTGGTCATTTGCAAAATTTTGTTAAAAAACATTCTGATTGTACACACAAGTACTCTGAAGTTGATATTAAAAAGATGCTTGAGTTTCTGATTGACAATATTTATGTGGTTTTTGGAGACCAGGTCTTCCAACAATCTGTTGGAATTCCGATGAGTATGGTGTCCGGATAGGACCATTTGCAAAAGTTCAACAGCGCGTTCAGAAAAAAACACGCCATCGCGCTAACACACAACTATACAAAACACGCTATCGCGCTTATACACAACAAACCGTCGCGCTAACACGCTTTCAAACAACTAGCTTCTGCGCTAACACAACTTTACACAACACGCCGTCACGCAGTCAGACAACACGCCGTCGCGCTAATGCAACTTTACACAACACACTGTCGCGCTGTCACACACTTTGTGATAGAGCGACGGCGAGTTGTGTGTTAGCGCGACGGCGTGTCGTGCGAACTTGTGCTAGCGTAACGGCGTGTTGTTCAATGTGTTAGCGCGATGGCGTGTTGTGTGTTAGCGCGACGGCGTGTTTTTCTGAACGCGCTGTTGGGCTTTTGCAAATGGCCCTATCCGGACACCATAGATGAGTACCAATTGCGCCCCGTTATTAGCAGACCTATTTTTGTATTCATATGAAGCAGAATTTATTCAAAATCTTATGCATGAGAAAAACAAAACTCTTTCTGTGGCCTTCAACTCAAATTTAGATATATCAACGACGTACCATCAATTAACAATCGTTATTTCTATCAATTAACAATTGTTATTTCCATTCATATGTCGACACCATATATCCCAGTGAGCTTGAAATAAAAGATACCACAGAGTCTGATACCTCTGTTTCATATTTGGACATTTTGCTAGAAAAAGAACGTTAACCTAACAACAAAGCTTTATGACAAACGTGATGACTTTAACTTTTCAATCGTCAACTTCCCTAACTTATGCAGCAATATACCCTCATCACCTACATAAGGGGTTTATATCTCTCAATTGATACGATACGCAAGAGTATGCTCTACGTATGAACAATTTCTAAAACGAGGTAAGTTAATAACAAACAAGTTGATGAAACAAGAATATCAACAGTCTTGTTTAAAGTCATCATTTGGTAAGTTCTATGGTCGATACAATGACCTTGTCAGCAAATACAGTCTACATGTATCACTAAGACAAATGCTGACAGATGTTTTTCATACTAATTGTTAGGCCATTATTTACACATTGAATTGCCGACGGATTTTTCCATTATTTCCCGATCATAACAAAGAGCACACGCGGGTGTGACCGGTCGGCAGGGGATGCTCAATACTCCATGGCACCTGATCCCACCTCTGATGTTATTAGTGGTCCGTATTTGCTCTGCTCCTGATTTGTATTGTTTGGATGAACTTTTGAGCTTGAATACTGTTCGTTATCTCCATATATTTCATCTTTCTCTGCTCTTTCAGGTACCTCAGTGTTGTTTCTCTCTTTCTTTACTATAAGGTATAATTCCACAGACAAATCCACTGAGAAGAGCATGTGCTTTTTCTCTTTGTTCAGGTACAAAGTCCAGTCCTTTTGTAAAAAGATTCAGCAAACAAGCCAGGAGAGAAATATCCTCTGATTGTGTTCTCTTATTCATCTCTGCTTGCATCTTTCCTTTAATATTTTTGATAACTGCTGAATAATCATCTGAAATCTCAGTTGCCCACATAAGTTTTGTAACAATGGGAAGGACTTTGTGCATGGTGGGATGTTGATCTGCACAAAATATTGTGGTGGCTTTTTAAAGGGCACAAGACCATGATCAATTTATCAAAATTGAAAACAGAGTTCTTGAGAGTTGCGCTGGCATGTTTAGGACTGACTAAAGATGTCACAGCAGATGGAGAGGCCACACGTTTGGGCAAACTAATGTTTCCATTAGAAGTTTTGTATTGCTTAACTATCCTCTACTTCTCACTTTGGATTAATTTTACTAGTAACTGATATGAATATCTTTAAAAACTGTATAATCATATTATAATAAGCATATCTTCTCTCTCCTCAAGCTACCCCACAACTGGTTCCGTTCCACAAAGTTCTAATAGCTTATTGCATAGAAAAACAAGATGTGTTTGTGAAACACTGATGCCCAGATATGGCAGTTTATGGCGAGGATTAAAATTTCTCAAATGCAAGTCAAACTCCAGGTCAATTCCCATGGGTACCAATGAGCTTGAAATAAAAGATACCGCAGATTCTGATACATCTGTTTCATGTTTAGATATTTACTAGAAAAAGACGTTAATGGTAATCTAACAACAAAGCTTTATGATAAATGTGATGACTTCAACTTTTCAATCGTCAACTTCCCTTACTTATGTAGCAATTTACCCTTATCACCTACATATGGGGGTTTATGTCTCTCAGTTGATTCGATACGCAAGAGCATGCTCTACGTATGAACAATTTCTAAAACGAGGCAAGCTTTTGACAAACAAGTTGACGAAACAAGGATTTCAACAGTCTCGTTTGAAGTAATCTTTTCGCGAGTTTTTCGGTCGATACAATGACCTTGTCAGTACATACAACCTATCATTAAATCAAATGCTGACTCACGTTTTTCATACTAATTGTTAGGCCATTATTTATACACTGAACTGTCTACGGATTTTTCCGGTTTTTGTTTCCTGATCATGACAAGGAGCACCCTTGCTCATCATAACCAAAATCAGTTTTTCTAATACTCAGAATTAATGCATTTTTTCTATATGATCAATAAAGCCTCTCCCTCACTCCAGAACCCTTGACTTAGTGGCTACAAATTTCACAATTTTGAAAGATACACCCTTATCATAACCAATCAACTGGTTTGTCTGTCTAATACCCAGAAGCAAAGGAGAAGATTTTCAAATGATTAGTGTTTTCCCCCTGTATGATATTAAATAGAATGTCAAGATAACACCTGAATTTCTGACCCTGGCATCACAAATATCATAATATTGATAGAGATACTCATCATGTCTATGCACTTAGTTTGCCTGCTAAACATACAGTGGGAGAGATTTTTTAAGAACTTTTATGCATTTTCCCTATATGAATCCCTGATTTACAGGTCTTCATTTTTCATTATTTTTGTTGAGGACTCAGTACTTATTAAAATTATGCCAGCAGTTTGACTGCTTGATGTCCAAAAGTGAAAGATTTTTGAAGATTGCATTAATTTGATTGCTTTTAATCCCCCCTCCCCCCCCCCCCCCCCAGCTTAGGCCCAGTTGGGTAGAACCATGGCAGGACCATGAAATTCACACTTTTTGTTTGCTTTCACCCATAGATGTTATATTGCCAGAGTTGGCTGAAATTGGTTCAGCAGTTGCAGATAAGTGAAAATGTTACTGCTTGACTGAGTTAAACAATGACAATCTAAAAACATAGGTAATCAGGTTACTAAGATCACCTTGCTGAATGTTACCTAAAAGTAAGATAAATATCACACCAAATTTTTTTTAGCTAGTATGCATCCAAAGATCAAAATCCATATAAGTTTGGTATGTAAGTAGGATTAACGTATATGGGAAATAGACCTCCTCCAAAAACTTTGACCTGTATAATCATCCAGAAATTGTAGGTTAGTTCCAATATCCAAAGTCTGGTAGTGTCCATCCCCAGATGCATGATTCATGCACATTTGCTCTAAGTAGGGCTTATAATTACTTGGGAATGAACTTGCTGCTAAAACATCAACCGGGATGCCTAGGATGATGCCTATGCCAATGCCAGGGTATAGCATTAAGCTCATCTCAACTTCATCAAGGTGAGCTAAAATGAAAGCAATGCATCACTTGAGGGATTAAATTAAACCAAAAATCATAATACACTGTAGATTAATCAAAACCACAGGAACTAGCTTTAGAAACTGCAAAGAAAGAGGTTACATCAATTGAGTGCTTGAAACATCTTTTGTGTGATTGCTTTACATGTTTGATTGTAAGCTGTGTATCAATAATGGACACACTCCACAAATAAAGTTAAACATGTTTATTAATGACATACAGACAAGCACATCAATGACATTTTTTAAAGAATCCACTACTCAGTCTCTGACAAAAATTTCCAAAGTATAATTAATATATTAAATCAGTTGTTATATTGTGAAAATAATGGCACATTTTGTTGAAATTCTTGCAATGGAAGTAATGACTTCCTCACATGGACCAATTTTGTTTTTAGGACTTCACAGTCTATTTGAATCATGCCAATTTTTCCAACGGGAGGTTTGACTGTGTCATTCAGAGTAAGAGCTGGCATAAATAATGATATTCTTGGTCTTTTATTTCTGTTCTGCAGAGTAGCTGGTACTAAATAATAATCTGTATTGAAGGACATTACATAAAATGTGTCATTTCTCCTTGATATGATTTGCCAAAAATCTTCTTGACGAGTGTAATTGAAGAGCTGTACCTGGTACTGACTTTCATAGTACTTTGATGAAAATTTCTGGATTTGTCCTCTTATTGATGACTGAAAGTAACTGGAATGAGGATTTTTTCTCTGTTTTCTCAATTTCTTTGTTGAGCTTTTCTGTTTTTCAAGTTTAAATCGCTGCATCCAACCTGACAGCTGTTCAGCTAACTTTATTGATTCAGTTTGATTAAAATATGATGCACAGTTGACTTCACTTTTGTTTGCTGCAAACTCACTCTCATCATCAACAAAAAGCTGCTTTACCTTTTGTTGACTGTCCTTTGGAATGGATGATTTAAAATGATTTTTCTCACCATCTGGATATGATAGAAGTTGTCTTCCTTTGTAACTTGGTAATTTTTCTGCACTGCGTATTTGTTGCCCATCATGTATCAAAGACAATTTGCCAGAGAAAAAATTCACGCACAAGATCATAAACACTCCCATTAAACAAATTTTCTTTGCAGAAGTCAGTGGTAATGATCTTTTAAGATTTACATTTTCTGTTTCATACTCTCTTATTCTTTCTTTTAGCAAATCATTTTCTTCTCTAAGTTTCTCATTTTGGACACTGCATTCATGCAACTGCTCTTCAAGCTGTTTAAGATAATCCCTCTTACGTTTTCTTGACAAACAAGCAGATTCTCGGTTTTTAATCATTCGCTGTTGACGTTTCAATGTTTTTAATTCACTGTCCATCTGAACATGATTCAAGGCACTGAAGTGGCTATGCTGGATCGATCCTTTATTTACCACTTGACCATGTTGGAGTGAAGAACTTTCTATATTTGTGATAAAAATTCCTGAATCACTCTGTGCTACTGGTTTTGGTTTTATTTTCACTTTAGAATCCATGATGGAATTGATGTTTAATGATTTTCTCTGTGGAATGATGACAGTTGCATATGTTTGTGTGCCCTCTAAATGATTAGACTGATTTTGTGTTTGAGTTGTAGGTCTATCTATTTGAGATGTTACCATATTCTGAACTGGTTGCTGTATGACACTTTTGACGGAAACGTTGCAATCTGAGCTACAGAAGATTGGAGATTGTGGCTCGAGTTTAATTACCTCAGCTAGTGGCCAATTACCATCAGGGGTATTGGCTGATCCTATCCCGCTGTCTGAACTATCACTAAGCTCATTGTGAAGTGATTCTTCTGTAAAGTAGTCTGGGAATAGTTCTCCATTGGAATACACGTGGCCGTTCAAATCAAAACTTTCACTGTCCTCATTTGCTAAATTCAATGTCTCTTCATCCAGTGTCAAAATTGGTGTTTCGACATCAAAATTATTAGTGTTGAAAAAAATATCTTGCCTTTCGTTCCATAGGAAAGCCATTGTTTTTACTGACTTCCCTAAAAGTCAATAATATCGACGTACAATTTAATTACGGTATCTGTTAACTTCGTTCCTTTAACATTGGTGAAAGGACGTTTCGCCCCATGACGATTCCCGCTGAGACCATTCAATCAAAAACCTTTTGCGCCTACGTAACTGATCATATATAATGTATATTTATATTATTTACATATTTATTATATTTTGATTTGATTTTAAAAAAAATACTTTTAAACAAAAATATTACTTTTTTCCTATCAACAAACTGATCAACCAATGAAGTTGGCATACACATGTATATATACTGAAAGGAAAACTTTTTAGGTGAAATAAGGTTATATATTTCAGACGTATTTTTCAGTTTTCCTATCTATAACATTTAAAATCATCTTTAATAAAATGTAACCAAAATCTCATTTGATTTTCCCCAATAATTCATGAGTTATTGAAACTCATATATGACGGTACCCCCCAAAAGTAAAAAATGAAAATTCTCATTATCTCACAAGTCTCCCTCGCGCATCTGTCACAGCCTTGATTCTCCCATGCATGGAGTTCATTAGTGTGTTTATCTTTCTAATAGGGATATTATTCAACCCTTCCGAGAATTAAGGCAGCCCTTAGTTGATTGAGACCAGCTTGGACATTTTAACCCTCTGGCTGCGACGTCAGTGTACAAAAAAATGTAACGTCACTACGAGATTAAAACGACGTCACAATTTCTTTGACATTATTTTGCGGTATTTTTTCTGGTTTACGCTTAGTGCACTCAAATACAGGAAAGCGTGTATGGAAAGAAGATGGGCGTGTTTGGCGTGTAATCTGCAGGAATAAGGCGCACGAAACTGTCTATGATTTGGTCGGTTGACCACAGCTGGACATACTTTACAAAGTGACGCACACGGGAAAATGTTACATTTAATTTGAAATACTTTGTCAAATTTAATATATCACTCCCCTCATCTTAATAATTACACTACATGTAAAACTTAGTAACGCTTCACATAAATAATAAACACATATGTAGGATATAGTTACCCAGGTATTAAAGTATCAGCAGGTTGGAAGAATAGCTGCAGAACTGTAGCTCTCTGCTTGAGAAAATTCGGACAGACAAAGCAGAGAGCTACAGATCCAAGCGTTGTAAAAACCTTCGATTTACGCCGCCGCTTTTTTGTCGCTGCTTCGTCTATTATTTCTTGTATTTAATGCTTTCCCCTGCTTTAAAAGTGGTATCCACTAATTATCCATATATTTTACTCCTATTCCTGATACTTTATTTACCTTTCAACGGTCTCAAACAGCCCTTTATGGTTTTGAAATGTCGGTTTAAAAAACTCCCATTCCGACGTACGTTATTGGGGGTTGTGCGAAAAGAAGTAATTTAAAGAACATATACTTGTCAAGAAAATGTAAATAAAAATTTCAGGAGGTTTAAATTTCATGTATATTGTCTATAAAGATTAGAATACAACATGTACGTAAAAATGAAATGAGATAAATAAAACTCGGGCGTGTTGTTTCAGGAGGACACCAACGTCGACGTCGGAATGCATTTTTTTAAAAATGATATTACGGCCGTCTGGAACTGTTGAAAGGTAAATTAAGTGTCAGGAATAGGAGTAAAATGTATGTATAATTATTGGATACCACTTTTAAAGCAGGGGAAAGCATTAAATACAAGAAATAATAGCCGAAGCGAGCGACAAAAAAGCGGCGGCATAAATCGAAGGTTTTTACAACGCTTGGATCTGTAGCTCTCTGCTTTGTCTGTCCGAATTTTCTCAAGCAGAGAGCTACAGTTCTGCAGCTAGTTGGAAGAATTGCTTTCGCTTTCGGTGCAACAGACCAGAATTTATCTATTTGAAAATAAATAAGTACATAAAATTAAACTGACGAAAGAATTGATTGTTTGTACTAAAAAATATTAACGCTCCATGCGAGGATCGAACCAAAAAAATGTCTTTTTCATTGCACTGGACGGGTAATCCATACTACTGAGCTATCACTGCTACGGACACTTCATGGTTTTTAAAGCGACAATGAAGCACCGCATTTACACATTGGAATTTTTTTAGGAAAACTTCATTTTTTATCGTCTCTGGGTCTTCTCTCCATTTTGTACAAATGTTTGTTGGTTTCTTTGAATTAAAATGCACACGAATAACGTTTCAAAATCATGGAGAGATGACCCAGAGATAGCAAATTTTTAGAAAAACGTGTTTAAAAATGTAACATTTTGTACCAAATGACTCATCTAGCCAATTTTCAAGTTCTCTTTTAGCAAATCAAAATACAATATCGAGAAATTATTTCCCTTTCCTATTTCACGGGAATCCAATACATTGAAAGAATGCTAAAATTTCATGTGACATATCAACGAAATTTTCACTTTTCAAGTGCGCCCAGATTCCTGCCGAATGCCAATCAAAAGCGCCCTCGTTCTTTATTGAATTTTTACATCAACAAAACTATGTGGGTTTAAAAATTCTTTATTTTTACATGTATATTTTGTCGCAATTTTAGTCATAAAATTATTATGATATTTTAAAGATATTTTCGATAAATACCGATGATCGATTATGAAGAATGAATTCATAAAAATCAAAAGCGAATTAAAATAAGCTGAATAATCCTAAACATTATCGATAGTTTGTTTAATATTTGCTAAATGATTAAGTAAAATATAGTATATAGATCAACATAAGTATTTTTTCATTCTCCGTCTTATTCTTCATTTGCATTCAAATTTCTTATTATACAGTACGTGTGATGCCTTCTAAAACATTTCGCTCAAAGTCCAAATTTACATGAAGCGCACCACGTTCTATTAATTTTGCTTCTGCAGCCGGCGTAGATTTTTCTATTCTTAAATTAAATAAAAAGCAAGCTAAATTCCTCCAAGAATGGTTCTCACTTAGAAAAAAATCATAACAAAACAACTTTGACCCTTGAATCTGTATTTAATTTATTAGAATTAATTCTATAGAAGTTGTATAAATATTTCATTTTGGCATTCATGTTGACTAAATGATTAAACGCATGTTAGGCTAATTGATTTTTATTTTTTAATTAATAAAACAGCAATTAGGAAAAAAGATCTACCACTAAACTGTTCAGTGTAAATCTTCTCTGTTAATTTGGCCAAACGGCCGAGACGGTACCTTCCGGTGTGATGTTTTAGATTGACGGAAGTAAAAATTTTTGAGGTTCATTTTTGTGCGTAGCCCACTTCCTTGCCGATAAATGATATAGGCATTGGCTATAAGGTGTTGTTAATAAAAAATAATCCTTGGTTAAGGAAAACTTACAAAATACAGTCTTAAACTGATAAATATATAGACCAGTAGGAAAAATATAATTTGTATATCAGAGGTAATTTTAAGCAACATTAATTCTGTAATTCCATATTTTATGGATGAGATCGATTAAAGGGGGAAAATATTTGCAGTATGTCGGAAGTAAAATTTGATAAACGAATTCAACTACGTCAATATCGAATAAAATTCAGGGAAAAAAAAATTATAGGGTTGTATTCCATATTCTGTTGGATTGATCTGATATCGGGGTCATATAATTCCAACGATTTGTCGGACAATTAAGTCGATACTTGCAATCTTGTTTTATACAAAACAGACATTAGAGTACTTTTGTATTGAAATTATATGCTGTAAAGTTAAAATACATACAAACAATGTTTTATTTTATGAGAGAAAGTCAAAGGACAATGACAAGAATTCAAAATTTAATTCAAACCAATGCAATCATGCTTTTAGAATGTTAGAAAAATTTTGGCTTCGTTCCCACATCTTGGTATCCAGCCGTATTGTTCATGTAAGATGAGATTAAGATGTAATGTTCACCATGATATATGGGATATTCTATAAACTAGCAAGAAGGATGTTTTGTAAAGGAAGACTTCGGTTGACAAGGGCATTGTTTTCTCTTTTACTAAAAATAATTGCTTTTGCTTTTAACATTGGGTAATAGATCTTAGTTTAAACCATTTTTTGGGGGGGGGGGAGGATTACAAGCATAATGAATAAACATACACTTGACAAAGATTAAACGGTATTTGGAAACAAGTTAAAAGCATATTTATCCGTCTCCTTATTAACATTGGAGAATGAATGTCAAAATTATGAACACCTATATTTAGAACACGAGAGGACAGCACCCACGACTATTTATCCGACATATTGTCGCCCTACAGATATTGTTGCTTATAGATTTTTTTTTGTACGGTACATATTGTCGTCCTGTTCATATTGTTGCCGACGACAATGTGTACCTACCCCAACTGCACATATTGTCGGTACATGTCACATGACAATACGTGACAATGCTTCCATATAAATATGACTAATCAAGGGCTTTCCTGTTCTTGAGAAGAAAATTTTGAAGAATTTTCCTAAACATTCCTAATTGTAAACATTGTCTATGAGACGTATATGTCTCTTGACTTTAATAAACTGAACTGATTCCTATGTAAAACTTTGATCGTCAATTGTGGCACCACCCTAAACCCACCCCTAACCCAAGGGTCATATAATTTGAAGAAACTTAATATACACTACCTGAGGATGCTTCCATATTGTTATCAATAATCATGGGCTTGCTGTTCTTGAGAAGATTTTTAAATATTTTCTGTATATATTCCTATGTAAAACTTTGATCACCCAATGTGAATGAACATTATTCAATGTCAAGTATATTTATTACAAAACTTTTTTTTTCAAAATATCAAAATGTTTGTGTGATTACAATATATTATCGTTTCAAGCCACTGCCCGGAGTCCACTCATAGCTCTCTCGTACATTTTGACCATGGTTTGCGAAAATGACAATACATCCATTGTACGTAAGTGTATTTTTATTACACTAAAAGAAACAATCCTTTTAAATTCAAAATAATTATGTATAAATTTAAAATTGAATCACACGTTACTCTACAGATTCATGTATTTTTGAAATAACTCTCAGCGTCCACACATTTGCCCCCCCCCCCCCCCCCCAAAAAAAATAAGAGAGCAAAAAATAGAGAAAAGGGGAAATATTGCTAGATGTGAAAAACGGCACTAATCATATGCAGCATGCTTCATTGACAGTTACTGCGGCAAATTTTAACTGAATAACACCTCTTTAAAAAACAACATAATATTCCCCCCCCCCCCATTTTTAGTATTAAAATTAATAACAATTAAATCAATTGCGTCTGTGATAAGGCTAACAAAAAAAAGAAAAATTTAAAAATAAAATGTTTACGTATACATGTAATATTTATAATGGGGCGAAGAACACGATAGAGGGCGCATATGGTAAAAGGCGAACGGACTCTTGGCGAACAGCCTCATGCGAACAGGTAGATAAAGCGAACGGACCCGACACCGTAACGAACCGTGCTGGTAAAATAAGTACACGAAGACGACTTGGATGTAATCAATAATTCCGAAGTAGTTGATTACATGTAACACTGTTTTACAATGACACACAAAACTGCAAAAAGAGAATGAATAGGCAGGGACCTATATACTATATTAGTATATATTATATTAGTTTGTAGGATCCTGGAATAGACACAAGATTAAATTATTGCTTAAACTGTTAGCTAAACTTGTTATAAAATCAAATTGGTTAGGCTAGAACTATGTTTATCGCATACCGCATGGTTTAAATTCCGAATCTTCCAGACGCTCCAATGCAAGTCTTAGGGAGGAAGAGAATACAAACACATTGACTACATTGACTGAAAAGAGAAACATGACGGAGATGAGAAAACTTCTGTCTTTCTTCTTAACTTCACTTAAAACAGTCTTCCATTACGGATTTATTCCTACTGTTATATATTTAGGTATTTGTCTATTCAATCAATAGATAGTTTTCAGTAGACCCAAATTAGCAAGAAATATTTCCCGTTGGCCGCCATATTAGGGGGCAACATGCTCATATTACTTCATTATTCAACCAACTTTAACCTTTTATACTGGCTATTGTGTTGTAGGAAGCATTGTTTGTCTGAAAAATATACATTTGTTAAAGCCTCCTTTATTTCATTATTTTTATTCTATAAAGATTCTCCCCCAAATATTTTTGCTACATCCTCTTAGATTTGGTAAGACAAAGAGGAAAAACTACCAGGTTGACCCCCAAGATGGCGGCCAAGGGAAATAACCCGGAGAGAAAATACGTCATATGAAAACTATCTATAGGATAATGGTGATGATATTTCTCGGGATTGGGGCTGGTTTGTCCCACAGGCACCTGACGAATGGTTGGTGTAACTCCTTCCCCCTGAGAATTTTTTAAAGACACGATAACTTAGCAAATATATGGAATTCTTTTCTATCATACCAATACTTCGATATTTCATATCATTTTCCGTTTTTGTCAAGTTTTAGAGATTGCCCCTTTATTGTATATAAAAATACTAAAGGTAAGAAACAAAGTCTTGTAAACACTAGGGCTGGGACGATACAACTTTTTCTATATCGATACGTATCACGATATTTGAGCTACGATGCGATATGTATCACGATATGTTTAATTGTTTATAAATTCTTTTTTTTTTTTGTATTGGAATGAACAAACATTTCTTCACAAATAAGAATAGATCTAATTTATTCAAAGAAGTTGTATATCTGTTGTTAAACTAAATTATCAATATCTCCATATATCGTCCCAGCCCTAGTAAACACACGGTGCCCCGCTTCAAGGGATATTTTCAATGTTAATACAGCATTACCAATGAAATTTATGCAAGAGGCAGTGCAGGGAGATGTTGTTTTACAAACCTCTTATTGTCACACCTGGTCAAAATGATTTGTCCTAAATTTGCTTTTATTTACCCAATTTCCTTTCGCTGGCAATGAAACAGGAGGTCATCAAGTACTGATGTGGAAAATATCCAAGGAGTTCCATTTAGCTATCTCTGGATTTTTCATTACGCTAAACAAAGTAGTACTTGATGACCTTCCTGTTTGATTGCCAGCTAAAAAAATTCTCAGTTGGAGGGGGGGGGGGGGGGGTGGGGTGTTAAACCAACCATTCGTCAGGTGCCTGTGGTTTGTCATACAGCATGGTTGCCATGGCACAAAATGTTAATTGGTAGAGTATTAAAGGCTACCTAGCTGCTACACTCTTGAACACACCCTAGAAATCTACAGCATGTTGAACCTCTTGCACTGTTGACCATTTCACTAGGGCCTAAATTTGTCGAGACTTACCTCTTGCACTGTTGACCATTTCACTAGGGCCTAAATTTGTCGAGACTTAACAAATTTTGTACTAACGTCTCATCTCAGACTAATGCCACTCAAAGTGATTCATAGCTGCAGAACTGTAGCTCTCTGCTTGAGAAAATTCGGATAGACAAAGCAGAGAGCTACATATTTAAGCTTTGCAAAATACCTTCGAATTACGCTGCTGCTTTTTTCGTCGCTCGATTCGGGTATTATTTCTTGTATTCAATGCTTTCCCCCACTTTAAAAATAGTATCTGATAATTAACCATACATTTTACTCCTGTTCCCCATACATGTACTTTATTTACCTTTCAACGGTTCCCAACGGCCGTATGTGGTTTTGGAATATCAGTAAAAAAAAATGCATTCCGACATTGATGTTGGTGTCATCCTGAAATAACACACTTGAGTTTTATATATCTCTTTTCTTTTTTTTTTACATACATATTGTATTTTTTGTAGACAATATATGTGATATTTGAACCTCCTGAATTTTTTTTTTCGCATGACCCCCAACATGGACATTGGAATGGGAATTTTTTTAAATTGACATTCCAAAACATTAAGGGCTGTTTAGGTCCATTGAAAGTTAATTAAGGTATCAAGAATAGGAGTAAAATATATGATTAATTATCAGATACTATTTTTGTTACTACAAGAACGCAGTTTTCGGCGAGATGCAATTCGCAAAGTATTGTGGGTTCAGAGGTTTAAGAGATCGCAATGACAAGCAATGCTTCACACCACTCACTGCACATGCTATCACTTTCTTACCTTTACAAGGTATAAATCCAACCAAAAATCAAGTTGTTTTTTTCATAGCATTTACATATTTGTTAAACCTCTGACACCGAAGAGTTCCAGTTAAGGTCATAAGTAGTTGCTTCATTTGCTTCGAACTATGGTTCATTTCTATATCAAATCGTAGGAGAACGAAGTATTTGAAGCAGACTACAGGGGTTGAAATTTTCCTGGAAAACTCACTTGCCCAGGGGCTACTGATCAGTGAAAGATTACTAGCCCAAACCTCAAACTAACTAGCCCAACAAATTTTATGCAAATTTAAATGAAAACATAACACAAGTAAAAGTTTTAAACGCTTTAGTGACAGAAACAAATTAAGCTAGTTCTCAGTCAAAAGAAATCAGTCTACATAGAAACACAAGTAAACTGACAAGAATGTTTTTCTGGTCTTCTAGTCTAGTGGACTATCATTACATATAGATAAGCTAGCACAAGTCTTAAAACGATAAGCCGCATCAGGCTACTGTATACAATATATATGATCTTGGCTCTGGCATCTGTGGTTTTAGGTGTAATATCCCTCTGATAAGAGAGATAACTTTCCAAGGAAATTATTCCAAGCAATCCCATGAATTGTCTTACCTGAGTCCATTTTATAGTTAACTCATTCAAATCTGAACTATGTTACAAATATTGATTTCTATTTTCTATTGCCAATATTTTTTATTAATTACTTAACACATTTATACTCAGTTCTTTAAACTGTTAAAATTTAGATTTTTCTATCTCTTGATTTAATTGGTACAGAAATTTCAGATGCAGAATTTTTAAAATCAAATAATTAATATTTTTTCCACAAAAAATATTTTGAAGAACGATAACTCCTGCAGATGGAAAGATAACTCTTGTAGATGGATGCATTTTTATTTTGCAAGCACAGAAAACAATGTGATATTTTGATTTTAAATGCAATGCTTCAGTATGTTTTCTAATGTGAATTAGATAGGTATGATAGTAAATATTATTTTCATACATATCTACGTATCTCATATTTTTAATTTTAGGGTGAGTTAAAAAATTATTTGACAGGGTTCGACACTAACGTTAGTCCGTTAGTCTCAGACTAATACATTTTCATTCGGACTAATAAAATCTGTGGCTAATTAGTCCGAGCGGACCAATAAAAATTTCTGGAAAACAAAATGAATAAATTTCCGATCTCCGATTCTCGACAACTTTTACTGAAAAACCCCGCGTGTATTTTTAGATTTCTAGCTTTTGGCGGGTAGTTACGCAATTCCGAGTCAATTCAGCGCTTAATTTTTCGACTGAGTGATCGATATGAAGTAAAAAGTTTTTAGCGATCATGATTTAGTATGACACTTTATAGAAAGATGTTAGACGTTTTGGATGTAATGTAAAGACAAAAAAAAAAAACAAAACAAAACAAAAAAACAAAAAAAACAAAAAAAAAAACCGAGATCGGGAATATGGTGGTACATGCTGATTGCGAGATTTCAACGAATCTGTGGAATAATATATTTCACGTAAATGCTTTGTTTATTTCAAAAAAAGTATAAAATGTATATTAATTGTCAAGTTAAATTAATGTTAAAAAACATAGATGTTTCTTTTTCTTTCATTTTTTGACGGACTCGTAAAACCGCGTGCGGACTAGTAAAAGTAAAGAAGCACTAGTCCGGCCGGACTAAAGCCTTAAAAAGTTAGTGTCGAACCCTGTTTGATCTTTCTTTTCACCATATAAAATTTTCTTCATATCATGATTAGACATAATATTCATTTCTGAAAAAGTAAGCAATGCTTCATACTTAAAACTATTTTCCATTTGAATCTAAGGCTGTTGTTGATGAAATTCAGTGTTGGAATTTTTTTTTTTTAAATGGTGAAATTTGGAGCAGAGGGATATTTCACCTTAAATAAATATGTCAATGCCTTGACAAATTTACTACATATAATAATACAGAGACATGAAAAAAAATCTTATTTTTAAAGAACAGCAGTGCCATGGTTGGTCGTAATATGCAAGCATCCTCAGATTCAAGTTTCTTCAAATCGTTTGGCTGAGCTTATCAGTACAAGTATTAAATTATTTGACTGCATATATACATTCAGAGAAAGAGAACTGTATCTTAAGTGAGCATTATGGGCTGTGGACCTATAGTGTATACATGTTTTTTGATTTAAAATTTATTAAATGTTTTAAATATTTCTTTATAGGTTTTAGGAAAGGTGCAGATGAGGGAATGCCTGAAATAACATTTTCAAGGTAAGTTAGCCTAATATCATAGATTAAGGTTAAGTAATTCTCACTCTGGTCTACCCTCCTTAAAGGAAAGTTGATGAGAAGACCGATCTATATTTCCTGGCTTTTTAGATCACCTGAGTCATTTGGATGATCTACTGCATTCTGTTTTCATCCACAGCTGTGTGCCATTTTTTCCTATATCAGTGTAAACTTAATATTTTTAGCTTTTTCTCTTCAACAGCTTAAGTTTCAACCAATTTTGTTGTAAACTATTTATAGGCAATGGGTAACATCAATTGTGAATTTCATTAAACTATGAAATCCATGCAGTCTTCAAAATCTTTTTCTAAACACCTGGAAATCTAGTAGTCAAACTTAATTTTAAGCATTGGGCCCTGTACCTGAATTGTGAAATGTATTGCCTTTGAGTCAGGTATCCTGGTGTTAGGGTGAGGCTTTATTGATCACAGGTGAAAATGCATGAATTTGTTTAAAATATATTTAGCAAAGAAAGTACATGGTTATGATGAGCAAGGTTGTCTTCTAAAGAACGAGGGTGTTTTTGATTGGCATTCAGCAGAAATCGGGGAATCTGGGCGCACTTGAAAGTGAAAATGTCCTTGATCTGTCACATGAAATTTTAGCATTCTTTTAATGTAATGGGTTCCTGCGAAATAGGAAAGGGAAATAATTTCCGAATAATGTATTTTGATTTGCTAAAAAAGAATTTGAAAATTGGCGTGATGAGTCATTTGGTACAAAATATTACATTTTTAAGCACATTTTTCCAAAAATTTGCTATCTCTGGGTCATCTCTCCATGATTTTGAAACGTTATTAATAATTTGTGAGCATTTTAATTCGAAGAAACTAACAAACATTTGTAAAAAAAAAAAAAAAAATGGAGAGAAGACCCAGGGACAATAAAAAATGAACTTTTTCCAAAAAAATTCCAATGTGTTAATTTGGTGCTTCATTGTCATTTAAAAAACCATATAGTGTGTGTGGCTGTGATAGCTCAGTAGTATGCGTTACCCGTCCAGTGCAATGAAAAAGAAATATTTTTGGTTCGATCATCTCAAGGAGTGTCAATTCTTTTGTCGTTTTATTTTATGTACTGATTTATTAGGTCACCTGAGTCACTCAGGTGACCTATTGCTATCCATTTTCGTCCATTGTCGTGCGTTAACATTTGAACATTTTTACTAGCTTCTTCTCTGAAACCGCTTAACCAATTTCAGCCAAATTTGGCATATAGCATCTATGGGTGAAGGGGAACAAAAATTTTGAATTTCATGGTCCCTGCCACCCTGGGGCCTGAGGGGTGGGGCTAAAACCACCAAAATTAATACAATCTTTAAAAATCTTCTTCTTTACTCCTGGACACCAAGCAGTCAAACTGTTGGCATCATTGTAATAAGCATTGAGCCCTCTACCAAAATTGTGAAATTCATGGCCCCAGGGTCAGGGGTTCTGGCACTAGAGTGGGACTATATAGATCATATAGTGAAAGTATTATTAGTCCTCTACCGGTGAAACCGGAGGGGACTATAGGTTTCCTCTGAGTCTGTCCGTCTGTCTGTCTGTCTAGCTGTCCCTCTGTCTGTCTGTCTATCCCACTTGGTTATCCGCACTTTTTTCCTAAACGCTTGCAGATATTGAGCTGATTTTTGGTATGTGACTTTACCTTGATTAGTTTTAGATCAAGTTTGCATTTCATTCTGCTTCATTAGTTTTTGACAAAATTAAAACATTTTCAATTCTTAATGGGAACAAGATTACACTTGCTGGTAGGGGACTAGTATTGCTAATGCAATACTCTCAGAATGCTTGTTTCTTTGAAAATTTTCTTTTCTGCTTCTGGGTATTAAATATACTAACTAAGCACATGGCTATGAAGAACAAGAGTGCCTCTTCCAAAATTGTGAATTTCATGGCCAGAGGGTCAGGGGTTCTGGTGTTAGGGTGGGGCTCTATCAATTATGTAGTGAAAATGCATTAAGTCTTTTAAAATCTGCTTCTCTGCTCCTGGGTATTAAATAAAGTAACTAAGTACATAGTTATGATGAGCAAGAGTGCCTCATCCAAAATTGTGAATTTTATGGCCTCAGAGTCTGGGGTTCTGGTGTTAGGGTGGGGCTCTATAGATTATATAGTGAAAATGCATTCATTCTTTGAGAATCTTCTTCTCTGCCCCTGGGTATTAAATAAAGTAACTAAGTAAATAGTTATGATGAGCAAGAGTGCCTCTTCCAATTATGTGAATTTCATGGCCCCAGGGTCAGGGGTTCTGGTGTTACATGTAGGGCGGGGCTCTATTGATTATATAGGGAAAATACATTAATTCTTTGAAAGTCTTTTTCTCTGCTCCTGGGTATTAAATAAAGTAACTAAGTACATAGTTATGATGAGCAAGAGTGTCTCTTCCAAAATTGTGAATTTCATGGCCCCAGGGTCAGGGGTTCTGGTGTTAGGGTGGGGCTCTATTGATTATATAGTGAAAATGAATTAAAAATCCTTGAAAATCTGCTTCTCTGCTCCTGGGTATTAAATAAACTAACTAAGAACATAGTTATGGTGAGCATGGCTGCCTTTTCACAATTTGTGAATTTCATGGCCCCAGGGTCAAGGGTTCTGGTGATAGGGCAGGACTCTATTGATGCATAAATTCTTTCAAAATCTTCTTCTCTGCTCCTGAGTATTATTGAAACAAAGGAAGTGCATGTTTATGATAAGGAAGAATGCCTCTTTCAAAATTGTGAAATTCATGGCCCCTGGGTCAGGGGTTCTGGTGAAGGGGGGGGGGGGCTCTATTGATTATATAGTGAAAATGCATAATTTCTTTCAAAATATTTTTTTTCTACTACTGGTTATAAAGCAAAGAAAGAAGTGTATAGTTATGATGAGCAAGGGTGCTTCTTCCAGAATTGTGAGTTCGTGGCCCCTGGGTCATATGTTCTGGTGTAAGGATGGGGCTTTATTTATTTAATAATATAGTGAAAATGCATTTCTTTGAAAATCTTCTATGCTTCTGGGCATATTTGAGGCAAACAGAGTAAAAGTTTTAATATGCAAGGGTATTTTTACCAGAATTTTGAACACCTGGACCATTTAGTCAAGTGTTCTGGTCCTGGTCAGGGCTCAATTAACTTCTATTCTGCTGAGCAAAGTTATTCTCTTGGCCATTAATCACTGTAAACATGGTAAATAATGTATTTGAAGGATTGATAGAATATGAGAATTATGAAAGAATATGTATTGTATAATATAAAAAGTACTTTCATAGTTTTAATGATCAGGTAGACTTGGAAATAATAGATGAATAAAATTGAGACAAAAATAGCTTATCTTTTTAAATGTTCTACAAAGGCCAAGAGAGGCCAATGTGAGAAGTAATAATATGGGGTTAAAAAAATAGACATTTTGTTAATAGTCTGCATGGTAATAATGATAAATTGGGGACAGATTAGATACTAGATCAATTATTTTGTTGATGCTTATCATACTATTTTTCTTGCTTATAAGCCACAAAGCTTCATGTATCAGTTTATTGATCCTCTAAATTGTTATACTGTACTCAGGTGACCGCTAGGCCCTTGGGCTTCTTGTTTTAAAATAGATATTAAATTCTTGTCCTTTTGCACCGAAAGCAAGAGCAATTCTTCCAACCTAGTGATACTTTAATATACACATGTAATTGCATTTAATATACCCTTAGTATAAGTGCTTATTATTTATGTGAAGCTTCACTATGTTATACATTTAGTAATTATTAAGATAAGCAGACTGATATCTTAAATTTGACAGTATTTCAAACTAAATTTAATATTTTCCCATGTACATAACTTTGTAAAGTATGTCCAGCTGTGGTCAGCCGACCAAATTGTACACATTTAAATTATAAATGTTCCGTATGCCTTATACCTGCAGATCTTATGCCAAACACACCCATCTTCTTTGTGAAATCCGTGGTCCCTAGATCAGGGTTCTGGTATTAGGATAACAACTGGGTCAGGGTATGGTAAGAGTCAGGCGCTATGATTGTAATTAATTATAGTAAAAATTAGGGATGTCAATAATTAATATTCGAATATTCAATGAAAGTATTCGAATATTTAAGGAATGACTCTAATTCTTGGCCAAATTATTCGAGTATAACCTGGTTTGGGTCAGTTTACGCTTTATAATCCGCAAAGCGGATTATAAAACAGCGTAAACTGACCCAAACCAGGTTATACTCAAATAATTTGGCCAAGAATTAGAGTCATTCCTTATTATTTAATTTTAAAATCATTAAATAACTATGGGTGTAAAATTTTGTTGCTTTTTATTAGTTCAAATTTGCCGCTCAATAATACAACCGTAGTAACGGAAGTACCGGAAGTGATGGGAAGCGAGGGGAGGTAAAAACTGATACATAGGCCTAGCAGCCTTGTTGTTTGTTTACATGTGGTAAGATCGAATTATTGTTTGGTACATTTATTAAATCTGGAATTTTCCATGAATCCCGAGGACTGGAAATGAGAGGATTGTATGGAAACAGATGATTCAGCTGGTTGTCAAGGGGGGTGTCCCCATACCAAACCAGGTTATACAGAAATAATTTGTGTTCCTTTTTGGACATTAACCAATCAGAGGCTAGAATACAAACAAAATTAAATTATATTCGAATATTCGATAAAATAAATAAAATCTGGTTTATTTTAAATACCGGTATGCATCATGCTACTCTCATGAAAGGTTTAGCGTAGTTATTCTTATATTGGAAGTAAAATTGTATGAAGACTTTTGTATATGTACAATAAGGAATTCCATTTGATATTTGTCAATGTTTGAAATAAATAATTGATTTAAATGTAGAAAAGTATAATTTTAACAAATGATGCATGTGTATTTATAGTAGCTCCGAGGAACCAGTCACCTTACCAAGGATAGTCGTATACTGTTCAGATTTCAATACATGTAATTAATTACAATTATCAACCTAATAAGAGATATGATTATGATCTTTGATACAATGTTTTTAAAATATAAACAAATATTACCATAGACAATTTTCCTAAGTAATTAACTAATTTCCCGATAATGAATATAAAATTCAAGATTATGTACAACCCGAGATAATCAAGTAATTTACACATTTATTCTGAAATTGAGCCCTCTACAATATTAATTACAGACTAATTCTATCAGACAATCATTCAGTGATCAATTAAATTTATTTTGATAAGTTTACTCTTCAGGTCTTTTAGACATTCTAAGAAGGTTTTCATTTTTTGTCCTCGATTCTAGATCCGATCGTATTTATTTAATAAAAACTAGGAAAATACGTTTTGTTATTATACATAAAGCATTGTTGTATAATTCTTTAATACCTTACTCAAAACAAAATAATTTAGTAGATATATACGATAAGAAAGTAGTGAAAGAAATCAGGCGATCAAAATTGATCTCTAGTAAATTATACAGGGATAAATCCAGCACTGTTCTAATCAAAATTTATTAATCACAGTACTTCTTTTTATGAAATCTGAAAAAACACCGAATATTCGAATCTTAAATTCATATTTGAATATCAACTCATTGAATGAATATTCGAATATTCGTTGACATCCCTAGTAAAAATGCATTTTATTCTTTTTCTGTAGAACAACAGGGCAAAGGTTTCTCAGATGAGCAGCATGGCCCATGGGCCTTGATACCTGTATATATAACACAATATCAACTGAACTTCAATAGTTTTAGTTTTTCAGAATATTATGGACCAGTTTGACCTTTGGTGAACATTGGCTCTTTGTTTCTTTCTTTCAATCGAATTTTTTGATTTGGGTACTGTTGCAAGGTTTTTATTTCTTTTGCAGTTTGTTGTGGAGTTAGAAAATGGAAGTAAAGACTCACCACAACTTTACCCAGGATTGAGATAAAATCAAGAGACGAAAAAGCACTTGACTGTTCCTTAATTCTTTGAGATGTATATTTGCACCTAGATCAGAAATGGATTAAAGTGTTTCTGAAAAAAAAATTGCCTTTTCTCTCTTCAGATTTTTAGGCTTTAAAAATAGTTATGATTTGTACAAAGTGTAACTATTTTATTGCCCAGTGATTTTGATGTTTCAGATATTAACTTGAATGGAGATTATGACTTACTTTAGGGTCATCATTGGAATAATTATTGTTCAAGGCATCACCTTAAGGATGATCTCAAGATCACTTCAATGATACCCATAACTTACAATGATTTTAGCTTACCTGAGCCAAGGCTCAAGTGGGCTTTTGACAAACCCCAATCAAAATTTGTCTGAGGCTGTCATCATCATACACTTTTCACAATTTCATCTTCTTCTCCAGAACCACTGGACCAATTTTAATTAAACTTGGCACAGAGTATCCTTGGCTTAAGGGAATTCAATTTTTTCAAATGAAGGGCCACACTTTCTTTCAAGGGGAGATAATTAAGAAATAGTGAAAGGTGCTAATTTGTCTGTTGTTATTGTTGTTGATGTATACTTTTCACATAATCAGGTTTTTAAAAATCTTGGCCAGAAAAAAGTTTGTCCAAATCATACCCACCCCCCAAACCACTTTTATATTTAAACTTTTTCAATACTGAGCAGATTTCTGCTTTTTCCTAGCCAAAGTGCTCAGGTGAGTGATGTAGCCAATGGGCCTGTTGTTATAGTATACAATTTATATGTCTCTGCAAATTTCTATGTAATAGAGAAACGGCAGTCTGTTCGGGGGAAAAAATATTCTGGGATTTGTATTTGTGGTAGGTGTTCAAAATTAGCTTGTATCTTTTGCTCACTTAAGGCTCAGTTGACCTTTTCTGATTAAAATTTGTGTATTGCAGTTGTTATCATAAACTTTTTACAATTTCATCTTCTTCTGCAGCACCACTTGCCCAATTTCAACCAATCTTGACATCGAATATCCTAGGGTAAAGGGATTCAAGTTTATTTAAGTAAAGGGCCACACCATCTTCCAAGGGGAGATAATTAAGAAAAAGTTAAAACTGGGTGGGGTCATTTAAAAGTCTTCTCAAGAACCACTAGGCCAGAAAAGAAATTTATTTGAAAGCTTCCTGATGTAGTGTAGATTCAGTTTTGTTCAAATCGTGACCCCCAGGGGTAGGGTGGGACCACAATGTCCAATCAAAGTTTTACATAGGAAAACAAGAAAAAATCTTATTCTCAAGAAGAGCAAAGCCATGATTAGTCATTTTTATATGGAAGCAATCTCAGGTAGTGTAGAAATTTTTTTTTCCAAATCATGACCCCTGTGTGTAGGGTGGGGCCACAATAGGCAAATTTTTACATCGGAATTTATATTAGGAAAAAAAACTTTCTTCTTAAAAACAGCAAAGCCATGATTAGTGATATAAATATGGAAGTGTCCTCAGCTAATGTTGATTGAATTTTTTCAAATCATGACCCCAGGTAGGGTGGGCCTACAAGGGGCCATCAAAGTTTTACATTGGAATATATAGGAAATATCTTTAAAAATCTTCTTTCCAAGAACGCAAAGTCATGATTAGTTAATTCAGAAGCATTCTCGGATAGTGTAGGTTCAAGTTTGTCCAAATCATGTTCTCAGGGGGTAGGGTAGGGCCAAAATAGAAGATCAAACACATAGAAAAAATCTAAAGCCATGATTAGTCAAAGAATATGGAAGCATCCTCAGTTAGTGTAGATTCAAGTGTGAACAAATGCCCCTCCCCTGGGGGGGGGGGGGTATTTACTATCACATATATTTAATCTTTTCAATACTAAACTGATTTTAAGCTTTTTCCTAGCCAATGTGCTCAGGTAAGCAATGTGACCCATGGGCCTCTTGTGTTATATGTTAAATTATTCATTGTAAATACGAAGATTAATGCTTTAAAGGGGCATGGACACAGTTGCTTTGTTTACATTTTAAATTTCTACCTTTATTCAAGAAAAATAGTTTAATGAATTGAACTTGCATGAATATTCTTGTAATTCAATAACAGCAGAACCCTTCTTTACATCAAGTCAAACATCCGTGCTTGTATTAATTAAAGAAGGCGCTGTTTTGTTTTGTTTTTTTTGTTAATATTTATGTTTTACTGGGTGTATTCCATTTGTTGCTCTGCACACATCACTGAGCACGGACTGACAGTTTTGCTTTCTCGCATTTCTACTCTGAATTTTCTGGATTATAAGTCTGATATTTTGCATTAATAGACAACAAAATTTCTACTTTTCTTTTAAAGTGCAAAATATATGTTTCCATCAAATGCGTCTCGAAATTCGTAGTTTTAATAATTTTCAGATTTTGACAAAAGTTTCTAAACACGCTTCATTATATTTCGTCGGGAAATACTCTAGCTACATATAAGTAATGAGATTATACTGGAATTTAAAAAAAAAATTATCTTCAAATCTGTGTTTAAACCCCTTTAATTAGAAACGCTTCGTTATACACGATGACATTAAACAAAATACTGCATGCTAATATTAAAGCGGCAAAATATGGATGTAAAAAGGGACCACGCTATTATACTTCAGTAGAATACTCCTTAATGAACCCGACACTCCGTACTAATTCTATGTCTACTACATTCATGATCTCTCGTCAAGCCTGTTTTTTTAGGGTCTTCCGTCTCCAACGGAAGACCCTTCTATTATTCTATTGTTTCTTTTTCACTTTTATTATTAGGGTCTTCCGTCTCCAACGGAAGACCCTTCTATTATTCTATTGTTTCTTTTTCACTTTTATTATTATTAGGGTCTTCCGTCTCCAACGGAAGACCCTTCTATTATTCTATTGTTTCTTTTTCACTATTATTATTATTATTATTTTCTGTCCAAATTTTGTGCAGACGATTTCTCAGAGATGGCTGGATGGATTCACTTGAAATTTTCAGAGCTGATGTATCATGATGTAAACCTAATACATTTTTTTTAATTTTTGAAAATTCACTTCCGGTCGGAAGTTATCGCTCTTTAATCGAATTTTTAGTGCCCATTTTGTCTACACAAAAACTCAAAAATGACAAAAGCTAGAGTGCTGAAATTTTCAGTGATAATAGAGGACATGTTCTAGTTGTGCACCTCAGTTTTCAAATTTTCTGGAAGTGCCTAGTATGGAAGCTCGTTAGGGGTCAAAATTTAGGACATGAATTTTCGAGACATTTTTTATCATATCTTCAAAACTATGAATATTTTCTTAAAACATATTGAACAGAAATTGTGTAGAATAATAAGATCTTTTTTTTAATATCAAGAAAAAAGGGCTGACTTATCACATTAGGGGCCAAGAGGGGCCAAAAGTCTTAAATCCATAACTCGTAAACGATCAATATTTTGTTATACATTACCAAAGCAAAAATGTTTATCTGAACAATCTACAACTATATATTATGATAAAAATCTCATATGTTACATAATTAGGGGCCATAAGGGGCCAGAATGCTAAATCTTTGATGCTTTATATCTCAAAAGTGGGAAATATTTTGATAAGTAATATTGAACAAAAGATGATCAAAATAATGTGCTTAACAATATGCAATCTTTCAATATTTGCTAGGCGTCCCCATTAAGGAGTTGAAGGGCCGGCCCCTAAATATTTCCTTTGCATATATCTCGGAAACAAAAAAGAATTTCTGAATTGTTGTTGAACAAAATGTGTTTAAATTCATAAGAGCTTTAATGTGATATCAAGAAAAAGGGGCTGGCCCCTCAAAATCGGGGCCAAAAGGGGCTGAAAGTCTTTCATCAATAACTTTTTAACAATCAATATTTTGTAAAATATTACTGCAGCAAAAATGTTCATCTGAGCAAACTACAACTATATATTATGTTATTCACATCATATGTTACATAATTAGGGGTCGTGAGGGGCCGAAATACTAAATCTTTGACGCTTTATATCTCGAAAGTGGTAAGTATTTTGCTAAGCAATATTGAATAAGAGATATTCACAATAATGTTCTGAACAATATGTTACCTTTCAATATTTACTAAACGTCTCCTTTAAGGAGTTGAAGGGCCGGCCCCTAAATACTTCTTTTGCATACATCTCGGAAACGAAAAAGAATTTCTAAATAGTTGTTGAACAAAAAGTGTTCAAAATCATAAGAGCTTTAAGGTGATATCAAGAAAAAGGGACTGGCCCCTCAAAATAAGGGCCAATAGGGGCCGAAAGTCTTTCATCAATAACTCTTAAACGATCAATATTTTGTAATACATTACTAAGGCAAAATAGATCATCTTCACTTTCCTTAACTATATAACATGTTGTTGGCATCATATGTTACGTTATAAGGGGACATTAGGGGCCAGAATGCTAAATCTTTGAAGCTTTATATCTCGAAAGTGTGAAATATTTTGATAAGCAATATTGAATAAAAGATGTTCACAATAATGTTCTGAAAAATATGTTACCTTTCAATTTTTGCTAAAGTTCCCATTAAGGAGTTGAAGGGCCGGCCCCTATTATTTCTTTTGCAGATATCTCGGAAACGAAAAAGAATTTCTGAATAGTTGTTGAACAAAAAGTGTAGTAGAGGCCAAGACGGACCGAAAGTCTTTAATCTATAATTTTTAATGATCAATATTTTGTTATAGATTACTGAAGCAAAATTGGTCGTCTTAACAATTTATTTATATCATTATATTTGAACGAAAGTCTCAGTCAAATTCTTATCACATCTTATCAAAAATCGGACGGAAGACCCACTCGTTGCTCGCAACGAGATCGCATCTAGTTATTATTATTTTTTTCTGTCCAAATTTTGTGCAGACGATTTCTCAGAGATGGTTGGATGGATTCACTTGAAATTTTCAGAGATGATGTCTCATGATCTAAACCTTATTCTTTTTTTTTTATTTTTTGGAAATTCACTTCCGATCGGAAGTTATCGCCCTTTAATCGAATTTTTAGTGACATTTTGTCTACACAAAAACTCAAAAATGACAAAAGCTAGAGTGCTGAAATTTTCAGTGATAATAGAGGACATGTTCTAGTTGTGCACCTCAGTTTTCAAATTTTCTGGAAGTG